AAACATCTCTTTTATATAACGTCTAGAAGTATTTTTTCTTTTCATTCTATGGATACAAATAGCTCTTTATTCCTAATTTACTTTAGACTAATATCTCTTTTGATCCCCCAAAAGTAGGAAAAATATATATTTAAAGGGTAACACATTTATTTAAGAAATTCAAATAGAATTCACAAAATACTTTACCTTTTGTGGATAACAAGAACCGGTCTTTGAAGTGATGAAACCTATCTAACGATAGTCTCTTGGCCAACAATCTCATACAAAAACTTAAAAACAATGTGACAATCCACGATCTTAACGTTATTTGGAGCTCTCACCGGAATCACAACCAAACCAAATTCAACCGGAAGTTCTCATAGTGAAACAATAAAAGCATGTCTTATTACTTCTCGCATTTGCGTATATATATATACCCACTAAAATCATGTGTGTTCCTAAGTTCAAAAATCATTAGCTTATTCTCAGAGGCTTTACGATTCTTGTGAATTTTAGCTGCACCAAGAATAATTACTCCCTAAATTGGTGCGTCCGCTTTAAACGGTATAACTTTCTTAAATTGACTTAAAACTTAGTTAACCGGATTAAACCAATAATTAATTTGGATACTAAACTGTTTAATTACAAATTAGATAGCGTTTGGTCACCAATTCGAGCCCAAGTAAAGAGGTTATGACTTCGCATGAAGAGTATAGGCCACCACGATTCGAGCAGTATTGGTACCTATATAGATAAAAATCTCTACGCTTTCGAACGACGATCTGATGAAAACATATCTATCATAAAGATCATGGTCTTTGTGATAGCGATTTGAGGTAATCTAAATTGGGAAAACTGTCGTTTAAATACCGAACTCGGCCAAATTAGATATTATACAATTAGTCAACTTTAACAATTTTCTCAAAACAACGTCGTTTTGAGATTATGAAAAATGGCCATTTAAATACCAAACTCTCCGTTTTGCGCCAAAACAAATACCAACTTTTTAATGAGTCATAAAATACACAAATTTATGTTGACTTGGCCAAATTAGGTATAATATTAGTCAACAGTAGATCGGAGCCAGTATTCGGAGATATGGACCCTCCAAGGTTTTAGCATGAGTCCAGCAACTTGTTACTTAAATGACCGTTTTTCCAATCTAACTTACCACTTTTTATTATTTTATTTTTAATCAATTTGATAACCTATTTTATTATATAAAGAAGAATGCGCACAATAAGAACGTGACACGTAAACAATATTT